CCAACGGGCTTATCAACCTAAGGCGTTTTATAAAAAATGAAAATTAAAAAACGCATCAAAATACTTGTGTAAAAAGTATTTCGACTCACTTTTTAATTCAAGCATTTTGAATCACATTTTAATTTTAATTTTTTTCATAAAAACCCTTGAGTTGATAAGCCCGTTGAAGGGCGAAATGGCCATTCTTGTGGGGAGGGATTTTCATCTGTCTGTAATATATATATATATATATATATATATATATATATATATATATATATATATATATATATATAAAGATATGTTTAGTGGTACAAAATAGAATATAGATGGCCTCCAACACTTTTAGGTGGTAATTAGAGTGGGAACAGCTAAGGATGGTAAAAGCATCACCACTAAAACTAACAGCACAATTATGGCTATTTACAAGATGTTCTGCGATGGAAGTCCCGTATGTATTGGTCAAAATCTCCGAGGGAGTGTACCTAAGGTTTCGGATTTTCGCTGGAACGTGTTGTTTTATTCTAACATCCAGCCTCTGCCTCGTTCTCCCTATGTAGTGCGAACCGCAATTACATTTATAAGAATAAATTAATGAACTATATAGGTACCTCCATCCACGAAATCGCTGAAAAAAAAAAAAGTATAGCTTGATGAAAAAGACGCCAACCTTGCCGAAAACAAAATTTTATCGTCTAAATGCTTATGTTATTATTAAGAGGAAAGACCAAAGTTTTTTAATTATTTTTTTAAATTTTTCCTTCTTTTTAGAACATTCTAAATTTTGATAAAAAAAAACCTTGTTTCTCTTTGTATCACCGGAACTAGTAAAATAATTTTTAGCACGTTTTTTTTGTATGACACACATTAATTTGGAAAATCTTGCAAAAATAAAAATAATTGTCGGATGTTAATGAAACTTTAAATAACTATTCACAGATGATCGAAATTATTATAAATATATTTTTTTTATTAGCGTCATGGGAGAAATATTTTTTTTATATTTATTACCCCTCCCATAACTAATTTTATGAAAACGCTAGAAATTCGATCGCATCGGGTTTAGTGATCACAATAGTTAAAAGCACAAGACTTTGAGGAATGCAAATCATGTTTTTTTTTGTTTTGTTTTTAATTGGACCCCTTACCTGAAAATCAGCTCTGAATTGTAACATACAAAACTCAATAAAACAAAGATATTATTTAATTTCAAATTCTTTTATTTGCTTTTAGTTGTTTTTATGAATATGGACAATATTTTCTGAAAGCAAAAATTTTTTTCGATGAAAAATGAATTTTTAATACAATTATTTGTTATTTCTTGATTATAATAGAGTTTTACATTTAAGTTGTTAAAATATTATAAAATTAGTTAAAAGCCGCATCGGGTTTCCTTAGTCTCTTTATGAGATAGATCTTTTTTTTTAGCGCGTTGTAAGTTGTATCATTTTGACTAATCAGAAGATCCGCAGTAATTAAGAAATATAATTTTGTGTTTATAATCGGGCTGTAATGATAAAGTACGGAAGACCAACCAGAATATAATTAAGTTACGTTATTTGAGTTAAGCAATGTTCTCCGCTGTTAAGGCCATTACTTTTGCGAAACACGTGTGCAGAAGTTAATTTGATTTTTCAATTTCAACTGAGAAGGGTACCTACAAGTATCAGTAATTCATCTTATGAAATTTATATGATCTTATTTTTTTATATTAATCTCAGTTATGACATTTTTCCATAAATGATATATCAAAATTAATAATAAAATGAATGGAAATACAAATGTAATAAATGTACATAAAATCATAGTAATTATGTACACTTCTGATAAAATTTCATAAGAAAGTTACCTATAAATTAATTAGATACCTTTTTATGAAATAGGAAATTTAATCTCACTCTTAACAGTCTTATTGTAATTTCTTTATAATATATTTTCCATAAAGCATCGTAAACGTAAAGGTGAAAGCTAAGTATAAAAAAAAAAAAAATTAGGGCGCTGAAAGTTTTCCTTAAGAATAACGAGGTAAATAATTTGTCCACTTAAATGTAAATTATTTCACTTTTCTCCTTCCGTAGAACAAATTAGCCTCACGGAATCCGTCAATATGTCATTCATCACCTGTCAAGTGACGCGAAAGTTTATGACCTGCTTTGTTTTATTTTCAAATTACGTCTTTTCAGCGCAGAAGCTAAGTTAAGCTTGGTTCAAAATATTTTAAATAAACATTATAATTTCTGATTTTCTTAAAATAAGTTTTGTAAAAATGATTATTGATATTTAAAAGAATTTCAAAGTGAGATTTCCAGTTTTTTATAAAATGGAAAAAAATGGTCAATTTTGCTGACTCAAAAAAAAAGAAGAGATTTTTAACGAAAATTTCGGACGTGCTCGGAACGATTAAAAAAGGAAAAAAATACCCCCCAAATACTTTGATCTTTCCTCTTAATAATAACATAAACATTTAGACGATAAAATTTTGTTTTTGTCAAGTTTGGCGTCTTTTTCATCATGCTATGCTCTTTTTTTAGCGATCTCGTGGAGGTACCTCAACTATTATGATGTGGAGGGAGAACATCCTTACGCATAGACCTAAAAGCGTTGGAGGCCATCTCTATTCATTAAAGCCTTCACTATGTAAACAGAAGGACTTTGTATTAGGCCTCCAACTAATTACCATTTAAATATTTTCGCCCCAATACACTTTGTCCAGTGTTCTTTTTATATAATTTACTTTATTGACCTTGATTTATGTCATACTATACCTATTCTATTGTAATGGACTCGCCCATAGATAATAAGTAATAAGTAGTAGTAGCAGTCGACAGTTCGGCTAAGTGGCGTCCCGCGGTCTTTGACTGCACACGCCTCCTGTCAAACTCTCTGCGTAAGCAGAGAGGAACCCGGACGAGGCTTTGCCGAAGGGCAAGGTTTCGTCCGGGAGGTAGACAGGGCCTGAACCCGTTTAATCGGCTTCAAAAAGGCTATTTTTTTGGCCGAGCCTACGGGCTCAGGAAACCCAAATAAAAGCCGGCCTTGTGCTGCATATTCTTTCTGCGTGGGTGAAAAGATAAATTTCAAGTGGCGTCCCCGTTTAATCGGCTTCAATCTTTTGACCGAGCCTACACACGCCTCCGGCCTGTCAAACTCTGGCGTAAGCGGTCTTTTTGAACCTGACGAGTCGAACTTTGCCGAAGGCCCCAGACGAGGCCGAAGGGCAGGTTTCGTCCGGGGAGGTAGACAGGGCCTGAACCCGTTTAATCGGCTTCAAAAAGGCTTTTTGGCCGAGCCTACGGGCTCGGGAAAACCCACATAAAACCGGCCTTGTGCCATATTCTTTTTCCGTGGGTGAAAAGATAAATACCAAGTGGCGTCCCGCGGTCTTTGACTGCACACGCCTCCTGTCAAACTCTCTGCGTAAGAGAGGAACCCGGACGAGGCTTTGCCGAAGGGCAAGGTTTCGTCCGGGAGGTAGACAGGGCCTGAAACCCGTTTAATCGGCTTCAAAAGGCTATTTTTTGGCCGAGCCTACGGGCTCGGGGAAACCCACATAAAAACCGGCCTTGTGCCATATTCTTTTCCGTGGGTGAAAAGATAAATACTCAGTGGCGTCTTGCGGTCTTTGACTGCGCGCGCCTTCTGTCGAACTCTCTGCATTAGCAGAGAGGAACCCGGACGAGGCTTTGCCGAAGGGCAAGGTTTCGTCCGGGGAGGTAGACAGGGCCTGAACCCGTTTAATCGGCTTCAAAGGCTATTTTTTTGGCCGAGCCTACGGGCTCGGAGAAACCCACAATAAAACCGGCCTTGTGCCATATTCGTTTCCCGTGGGTGAAATGATAAATACCCAGTGGTGTTGAGCGCGTCAGACGATATCGGACATTGAAGTACCAACCATCACAACTAGATTGCTGCGTCAACTCTTATTTTCAAGTTCCTAACGTTTTGTACGTTGAACCTAATTTAGGACGACTTCTTGAAATACAAGCCTCCACTGTGAAAAAACTACTCCACAACAATTTAGCTCTGTTGAGCGAGGTACGAAACCGGTTAGCTTGTCCGTTTTTAATTTTTTACTTTTTATTATCATGAGTGGTAATAATAAAACTAATTTTTTTGTCTGTTTATGGCAGTGATATATATATATATATATATATATATATATATATATATATATATATATATATATATATATATATATACTGAGAGAGAAAAGAGAGAGAAAGAAATAACAAAGAAAGTACGAAAGAAAGAGCCTTAAAATAAATGTATGAAAATAGGAAGAAAAAAGAAATAAAAAAAGAAAACAAATTAGAAAGAAAAAAACTGTTATCAAACGAACAAGACAAAAAAAGAGGAGAGGAATTAGAGAAAGAATTAACGTACAAAAAAATAAAAGAAGAAAATGTAACAAAAGGAACGAATAAATGGACAAAAGAAAAAAAGGACAATGAAGGAAAAAGACAGCAGGAACTTAATGAAAAAAAAAGAAAGAAATTAAATAAAGAAGATAGAAGAAAGAAGTTGTGTACGGCCAAAAGCAATGAAAAAATAAAGAGGAGATAAGAAAAAATGTGATAGTAAAAATGCAGAAAGAAAGAAAGTAAAATGAAAAAAAGAAGGAAGGAAGGAAGAAAAAAATAACGTAAAAAGAAAGACAGAACGAATAAAAGAAAAGTGAAACGAGCATAAGTATGAAAAAAAGAAAGATGAAGACAAACAAATTAAAGAAAGAGGGAAGAAAGAAGATATGACCAAAAAGAAAAAAAAAGGACGAGAGAAACAATGAATGATCAAGAAATACTTAAAAAAGTATGAACAAAAAAGAAAGAAGGAGAAAAAAAAGAAACAAATTAAAAAAAGAAAGAAGAAAATAGGACAAAAGTAAATAAGAAAGAATGAACACCAACAACAACAGCAACAAAAAGAATGGGCAAAATAAATGAATAAATAACGAACTAAAGAAAGAAAGAAGGAACGGGTTATAATGAAAAGGATGAAGAAAAGAAAGAAGAAGGAATTACCTAAAGAAAGAAATAAAGAAAAAAGGAGAAAGAATAAGATTAAAAAAGAGAAAGGAATAAATAAAAGAAAGAATGAAAAAAAGAAAGAAAAAATAATGAACAGAAGAAAGCAAGAAGAAAAGTAAAAAAAGAAGAAGGAACAAAAGAAGGAAAGAAAAAAGAAGAAAGCAGTGAACAAATAAAAAAAGAAAGAAAGAAACAAGAATTGTCAAGAGGGAGGGAACAAATGAATGATAGAAAAAAGAAGAAAGCAATGGCCAAGAGAAAGAAAGAAAGAAAAATAAAGAAATGAGGAAGGAAAAAAGAAGGAAAAAAAAGAAGAAGGCAATGAACAAAAGAAAGAAAGAATGAAAGAAATGTGGAAAGAATAAAAGAAAGAAAGAAAAAAGAAAGCAATAAACAAAAAAGAAAGAAAAAGAAACGAAGAAGGAAAAAGAAAGAAAGAAAAAAGAAAAAACAATAAACAGAAGAAAACAAAAAGAAAAGAAAAAGAAAAAAGAGGGAGTAACAAAAGAGGGAAAGAAAAGAATAAAGATCTTATAAGAAAGGGATGAACAAAAGAAGGAAAAAAGAAGACAGCAGTGAAAAAAAGAAAGAAAGAAACAAACAAAGAAAAAGAAAGAAATGAGTAAGGAACAAAAACGGAAAGAAAAAAGAAGAAAGCAATGAACAAAATAAAGAAAGAAAAAGAAGGAAAGAAAAAAAAAAAAAAAACAATGAACAGAAGAAAGAAAGAAAGAAATTAGGCTGGAATAAAAGAAGGAAAGGAAAAATGCAAAGAAAGAAAGAAAGAAAGAAAGAAAGAAAGAAAGAAAGAAAGAAGGGAAAAGAAACAAATGCGGAAGGAACAAATGAAGGAAAGAAAAAAAGAAGGATGAATGAACCAAAAGAAAGGAATTAATAAAAGAAAAAATCAGAAATGAAGAAAATGAAGGAGAAATGAAGAAAAGAGAGAAAGAAGCAAAGAATAAGAAAGAAAACAAAAGTAAATAGAAGAAAGAAGGAAAGAAGGAAAATGTAACGAAAAGAAGAAACAGTGAAATAAAAAGAAAGAAGGAACGAACCCAAAAGAAAGGAATGAACACACGAAATAAAGAAAGAAGGAAATATAGGCCGAAAGTAGGAATGAAAACAAAAAAAGGACAAAAGAGGAAGAAATAAAAAAGAAAAAAACGAAAGAAAAAATAATGAACAGAAGAAAGCAAGAAGAAATGAAACAGGGAAAAAAGGAGGAAGGAACAAAAGAAGGAAAGAAAAAAAGAAGACAGCAGTGAACAAAAGAAAGAAAGAAAGAAAGAAAGAAAGAAAGAAAGAAAGAAAGAAAAAGAAAGTAATGAGGGAGGAACAAAATAATGAAAGAAAAAAGAGAAAGCAATGAAGAAAAGAAAGAAAGAAAGAAAGAAAGAAAGAAAAGAAAGAAAAAAAGAAATGAGGAAGGAAAAAAGAAGGAAGGGAATGAACAAAAGAAGAAAGCAATGAACAAAAGAAAGAAAGAAAGAAAGAAATGAGGAAGGAAGAAAAGAAAGAAAAAAGAAAGCAATGAACAAAAAGAAAGAAAACGAAATGAAGAAGGAAAAAGAAAGAAAGAAAAAAGAAAAAACAATAAACAGAAGAAAGCAAGAAGAAAAGAAAAAGAAAAAAGAGGAAGGAAAAAAGAGGGAAAGAAAAGAATAAAGAACTTATAAGAAAGGGATGAACAAAAGAAGGAAAAAAAGAAGATAGCAGTGAACAAAAGAAAGAAAGAAAGAAAGAAAGAAATGAGTAAGGAACAAAAGAAGGAAAGGAAAAAGAAGAAAGCAATGAACAACAGAAAGCAAACGAGGAAAGAAAAAGAAGAAAAGAAAAAGAAGGAAAGAAAGAAGAAAAACAATGAACAGAAGAAAGAAAGAAAGAAAGAAAGAAAGAAAGAAAGAAAGAAAGAAAGAAAGAAAAAGAAATTAGGCTGGAACAAATGAAGGAAAGGAAAAAGTGCAATGAATAAAACAAAGAAAGAAAGAAAGAAAGAAAGAAAGAAAGAAAGAAAAAGAAAGAAATGAGGAAGGAAAAAGAAGGAAAGAAAGAAAAACATTAAAGAAAGAAAGAAAGAAAGAAAGAAAGGATGGAAAAAGAAAGAAATGCGGAAAGAACAAAAGAAGGAAAGAAAAAAAGAAGGACGAATGAACCAAAAGAAAGTAATGAATAAAAGAAAAAATCAGGAATGAAGAAAATGAAGAAGAAAGGAGAAATGAAGAAAAGAGAAAAAGAAGCAAAGAATAAGAAAGAAAACAAAAGTAAATAGAAGAAAGAAGGAAAGAAGGAAAAAGTAACGAAAAGAAGAAAAAGTGAAATAAAAAGAAAGGAACGAACCCAAAAGAAAGGAATGAACTCACAAAATAAAGAAAGAAGGAAATATAAGCCGAAAGTGGGAAAGAAAAAAAGAAGAAAAAAAAAAGAACAAATAAAAAAGAAACAAATGAACGAACAACAACGAAAAGAAAAACGTAAAAAATAAATAAATAAATGTTTGTTAAATGAAATAATAGATGTGATATGGAAAAGAACCATAAATGGTTGAACCAGGTTAATTTCTTTCATTTTTTTCTTCTTCTTCGACCTAAATGCCGCAAAAATAAATTCCCCCGTCAAAGTTGCTAATTTGTTTTTGATTGGGCTCAAATGGTTTCCAGAATTTATACGGCAAATAAGAAATTCGGGGTAAAGGTGGCGACGGGAGAGAAAATCGTCTGGTTCATTAAGAAAGACGAAATTCTGAAAAAAAAAAGGGTCAATATTTTTTGTCTCTCGTTTTATTTTGATTTTCGCTTCTTTTTTTTTCTCACCACCCCCTTTCGCCATTTATTTGTATCCTCATGCGAATTTTGTTTTCTTGTGTGTGGCCTGTCTTTGCCTGTGTCTTGTTTACTTGATGTAAAGGGCTTAAAAGGATCTGCAAGTCAAATAACACACGAAGCATGAGGCAAAATGGCGGAAGGAATTGAGCGATGCGCGTCACTTTATTTTCCCTTTTCTTTCAAGGGGAGTGGCTGGAAGATGTGCGTCACGGAAGCTGATTTGACAAGTAGGCGAAGAGATGATTTTTCGGCTTGATTGCATTAGGACAACGGAAGCGATTCTTAGGTGTTCGGACACCGGAAAAAGGGGGATGTCCTGATGATTATTTAGTAATGACGTCCAGCTGTCGCGGCTAAGAGTCGGAAAATTTTGTCAACGTTACTTTTCAACGACAATGTTCATTTTGAAGTAGATGCTTTGTCGGAATCAGAAACTTTTATATATAGTGATTTTCTAAGCGTATATAAACGAATTTATTACTTTTACTATATATATATATATATATATATATATATATATATATATATATATATATATATATAGTTTGTATATTTGAGCAATCCTTACTTTATGCATGTTTCATTAAAACGACAGACAAAAGGTACTACAGTTGAGCTTTTTATTTAATTTTTCTTGTGTTCTGACAAGAGCTTTCTTTTCTGGACAAAGGGTGTGTAAGAACAGTCCGAATGTTTTGTATTTCCGAGCGCTTTCGGCTATACCTTTAGCCATTATCAAGGATGATTCGATTATCAGCTTAGTAGAGTGTGTGCATTCTGTGTATGTTCAGTGTGTGGTAGTGATTTTTTTAATTTCCGAATACGGTTAGCAGCTCAACCGTAGTACCTTGTCTGTCGTTTTTAATGAAACATGCACACACACACACACACACACACACACACACACACACACACACACATATATATATATATATATATATTATAAATTGACATATTTAAAATATGTTTTTTTCGCTACACAGTTCTAACCATGTTTCAAAAATGGAAGCTAAAAGCTACGAATTTAATTTTGTATAAAACCCAGTAATTTTAAAAGTTACGCGAAAATTCGCTTGAGAATGAAATTGAACTAATGTCTTTAATTTAATTACAAAATTAAATTCGTAGCTTTTAGCTTCCACTTTTGAAACATGGTTAGAACTGTGTAGCGAAAAAAAACCATATTTTAAATAAGTCAATTTATAATATTAATGCTCTGTAAATTTACATTGAGCACTATTTTGTAAAAATAAAAATATCTATAAGAACACCGGATTATATATCTTACTGTTCTTTCTTTATATATATATATATATATATATATATATATATATATAAGTAATTCATCGAGTCTAGAAGAAACCTCGACAGAATGCAGAAAGCACTGGACGGCCGTTTCGTTCTATATTTGGGACTCATCAGCAGGGCGCATCCACTACCGAGAATTGAAACCCGGACAGGCAAACGTCATACCAACTATTCCAACGTGCCTCGGTGTTGAAGTGGTAGCGAATCAGACTCGATATAGCGCCGCTCGATCACATATTCCGTGGTGGAACTCATTTGAATTTCTCTTTTACCCATAGGATTGTGCCCAACAGGAAGCTGGTAAATAAAAATAAAATCCAGGAGCCCATTTATTATTAACATGTCCGCATTTTAACAGCTAATTGTAATTATTGTATGGATAATTGGCCTCAATCAGTCAGCCTTCTATGTATAAGGCACTTTTCCTCCGACTCCAAGCGTTCATAACTTTCTGAATCGATTTTACCATTGCTATGAGGCTTCCTTTCTGAAACAATTCCATTGGGTAATGAATGTGGGCCTTTTTATCCATATCTTTGTTCACTCAGTTACAAGTGTAGTAATTACAATGAGGCTCGGTGGTGTAGTATAGAGCGGCCCGGATTGAGGATTCAAGTCAAATCCATTATATTCACTTACGTTCTAATAGCCTTGGGAAGGGTATGGATCCTCTTCTCCCCCCCTGCAAATAACAGGACAGACAGGGTTCTATAGCCTTGGATGGCAACTGGTCTACTGCAGAAAGAAATGGCAACGTACTGCGCGAAAAAATCTGCCTCGTCAGTCATGTAGCAAAAGATAAATAATCGCCTAATCGTGTATCCCGCATGGCACATAACTAAATCGAAGAGCCGAGTTCGAATTCCAGTTGAATCCATTACATTCACTTATGTGCTAATACCCCTGGGAAAGGTATGAATCTACTTCTTCTAAGCTATGGGTAAATAGCAGGACAGACCGGGTTCTAAAACCTTGGATGGCAACTGGTCTATAGCAGAAAGAAATGGCAACCAACTATAGGAAAAAATCTGCCTCGTCATCCAGGTATCGAAAGATAAATAATCACCGAAGCGTGTATCACGCATGTTACATAACTGAATCGGAGAGCCGAGTTCGAATTCCAGTCGAATCCATTACATTCACTTACGTACTAATACCCTTGGGAAAGGTATGAATCTTCTTCTTCTAAGCTATGGGTAAATACCAGGACAGATCTTTTTCTATAGCCTTGGATAACAACTGGTTTACATCAGAAAGAAATGGCGACATACTGCGGGAAAAAATTCTGCATTGTCATTCATGTATCGAAAGATACATGACTGCTTAATCATGCATCACGCATGGCACCTGACTGAGTTGCAATGGCACTTCGTCCTTAAAAAAGGCAAGCAGTATTAAAATATATACCCCTTTTACAAATCTTCGGCTGTATTTCTTCCAACTGAAGTTCAATCAGCCACCCATTTGTTTTTACCGCCGTAGCCAGGCCAGCTAATCTTTGGTCTGCGATACTTACCACAGAAATTCCTCTTTAAATCCAAATCTATCTTCTTTTACAAGTAACCACTCTTCTTTGGTTTACTTCTGAACTAACACACGATTACAAATTTGTTTACTTCCTTCTCTTATTTTCCCGGCTGTTCAATTATTTCTGGTGAGCAGTCACTGGATTAAGACCGGGCTCACCCTGCTGCACAGTAGATAAACTGCCGGGTGCATCATTTTCCTCGGAGGTTCCAACATCGTTCCCGCTATTACTGACATCACTGGAAATAGACATTTCGATCATAAACGAGGTGTTTTTTTTAAGCTTACCACCAACGATTATATTAATTAAGATATTATTAATAGCAGGGTTGTTAATGAAGATTAAAAAAGATCATCTTTCCCATGAGACATGTGTACTAGAGATTTTCCAAGCGTAGCTTAGATGTGACACAAGGCCGAGAGTATGGGACATCGAGCGAGGATCGAACTCACTTTTCAGTAGTAATTGATCTAGCAAGACAAGCTTGTTAACCATTATACAATGCCAAGGTGCCACTGACAGAAGACAACAACAAACAAATGGATGATTAGTGAAATTTATTTTCGTTAAAGAAATATACAAACAAAAATAAGGTTATAGTGCACGAGGCCAAAAAATATCGCTGTATGTTCATGCAGAAGGCGTGAAGGGAATTTTCCTGAAGAGAACAGTTGTTCTAAGTAAAGCCTTAGATGAAATAGGTTCCAAAGAACTGTTGGAATTTTAAGAAAAAATGTTTACGGCGAATGTATAAAGTTTTCCACGGCGAAAATTCATGAGGCTAAACTTCCTACGTGAAAAAAGTTACGGCGAATGTTCCTAGAAATATTAATTATATCTACACAAAATCCTTAGAAAATTACGTTACAAGGAACTATATGGGAATTGCTAGGAAAACCTGACGTATATGAGAAAGATGATAGAATATCCCAGAATTTATACAGAGAACAAACCTGATGCATATGGATTGAAACTGTGTTTAGTATATGTAAAAAAGCGACAGAGACACAGATGGGGTATTCGAATATTAAAAAAATGCAGCGAAAATATTATACGGCAAAGTATTACACGGCGAAAATTCCTGAGGCTAATCTTCCTACGTCAAAAATGTTTACGGCGAATGTTCCGAGAAATATTAATTACATCTACCCAAAATCCTTAGACAAATTACGTTACAAGGAACTATATGGGAATGGCTAGGAAACCATGACTTATATGAGAAAGATGATAGAATATTCCAGAATTTATACAGAGAACAAACCTGACGCATCCGGAGTGCAACTGAATTTAGTACATGTTAAAAAAACGAGACAGAGACACAGATGGGGTATTCGAATATTAAAAAATGCGGCGAAATTACTATACGGCAAAGTATTACACGGCGAAAATTCCTGAGGCTAATGCTACTACGGCAAATGTTCCTAGAAATATAAAAAAACTATTGGAATTTCAAGGAAACCCTGACTTATATGAGAAAGAACTTAGAATATTCCAGAATTTATACCGAGTGCAAACCGGCTGTATACGGATTGAAGTTCATTCCGTATCTGTAAACAAGTGAGAAAGACATAGACGTGGTATTCGCATATTAAAAAATTCTTTGAATTTGTTTTACGGCAAAAGTACTATACGGCAAATTTTTCTCCGAAATAAATTCCTGTGGCGAATCTTTTAAGGCAAAAATATTTACGGCGTATATATATATAATCGACTCTCCCGTCGCGTTCGACGTATGAGGGTCAGGCCGATAAGTCCCCAGGAAACCGACATCCCGACACCGGCACATGAGATTTGTTTATAGTGGTGAAGGCCTTGTGCAGGACCAGCCACACTTTTGGAGGGACGAATACAGAAATCTGGTGCACCGAATGCATGCCACAAGGTTCCCAAACGACCCTCCGCAGGTTTTGAATTCAGAGTTGTCCTTCTCCTAGACCAGTTGCCATCCAAGGCTATAGAACCCAGTCTGTCCTGCTATTTTACCCATAGCTGGAGGGAGATGAAGAGGATACATACCTTTCCCAAGGGTATTAGCACGTAAGTGAATGCAGTGGATCCGACTGGAATTCGAACTCGGCTCTGCGATTCCTCAATCCAAGCCGCTAACCACTGCTCCACCGTGCCTCCTGTTTATATATATATATATCCTTACATTTTCTTCACTAAGTGTGGCACAAGGCTACGAATTCTGAGCGCTCGATAATGGTATATCTCACTATGACATTTAGAATCTTTTAGATGACTTAGCTAACAGTTGTTCCATGCTAAAGCTCGCTTTTTTTAAGTCTTTTACTTTCAACGAAAACTGAAGTCAAAATAAATAAATACTCCCAAACTCCGTCTTGCTTTCTTTTTCGAATAAAACAATCTGTTGCGAGAAGTAATGTTTCCGCTTTATTTGCTCAGAGTTGCGAACACAACTGGAAGCCTGATTAATTTTTTCCCGCCCTTTTGTCACCATTTTGTTCCCGCTTACACACCCATTGCCAATTTGAACCACTTTTTAATTTTCTTCCAGAAAATTCGGTTGAAGTGTGTTGCTTGACACCTTCCCGGAATTACTCGCCAATATCTCCAAAGCGATTCTCAATGATGTGATGATCCTTTGCTAAACAAAATGAAAAGTCGCAAGTAGAAATAATTAAGCGAAAACATTTCATTTCTCTCTTTTTTTTTCATTTGTTCATTTTTTGGCATTCGTCGAAGGCTTTTCACACCCAAAATTATAGGAACAAGACAGAAACCAAACGAACGGGACGGTAAATAATATCGTTGTTACTGAATTGATTTTCTGTGTAGCTGAGTCGACAATAACTATCTGTTCATTTTAGTAAGAAATCCGCGTTTCTTTGTGGTAAATGTATCTGAGATTTTATCGACCGATGGAAAAACTGTTATTCTTTTTAGAAAGTTATAAGCAAATAATAAGAAAAATCTGTTATTGAAAAATCATATTTAAATCTCCTCAAATTGCGTAAATATAGACGTAATCATAATACTTGATAGTACACATTTTTTAACCAATGATAACAGACCCAACTTCCTTATTCTTGGAGTCTGGGTGAAATTATGAAATTAAAACAAAATTATGTGTTGATTAAGGCAGTAGAGAAAACGTGTCCTGAGTTGAACACTGAGATAAATTTACACTCCTCACTCCTACTATTCGGTCAACACATTCTTTTTAACTCCGGCGACTATAAATTGTAAAACCCTTCACGGACCGTGCTAGACAATTTTTTCTCGCTAGATTGTTTTGTTGTTTTTGTTTAGCGGAATATCAACACCTCTATGGGTTATTTAATGTCTATATCTAAATATTTTGTACACCATTTTATTTTTTAGCGATTATAATGGTTTTAGTGACACAAATCTTACTAATTATCCGATAGCTGGAGGAGAGAGAAGAGGTGGATTTGCACATAAGCGTATATTACAAATCCAAATGGAATTGGGACTCAGCATTCCGATTAATATTTCTCTACACTTATCCAAGATATCACCCATACATCCTAGCTTGCATCACCTGGTATGGCCAAGCGGTTACTCATTTAGGTACTGGCCAGATTAAACGTTGCTTAACTTCGGTGATCGTATGTGATTTGGCCATAAACTCTTTTCGTCAGAATCTGCCATACACATTTATAATTCTGCCATTCGTCTGTGTACTGAACATTGCTACCGCATCTGGTCTGATGCTTCTGCTATATAGCTAGATATTCTTGACGAAGTCCAAAGAAGAATCAGCAACATTATCTGTCCTGACCTGGCATCTATGCTTCAGTTTCATTCCCGCCGCAGTAACATAGCTTCCCTGTGCCATTTCTATAAATACTTTCATGGTAATTGTTCTGACGCACTTTTCTCTTTGAGTCTACACTTTATGAATTTAAACGCAGTACTAGATTGGCGGCAAGGTCTCCTAATTTTACAGGTGAAATTGCTAGATGCAACCATAAATCCCTTGTTTTCAGTCTCCTCGCTTGTAAGATTCCCGTCCAGCTTCAACAATCTTCAAAAATGTAAATGCAATGTCAATTGTTATCTTCTGTCTTCTTAATTTTTTTTTTTTTATTGTTCTCTCTCCTTAATAATGTTTTTTCTTTTTCTCATATTCATTCACACTCAGTAACTCTTTGCGTCTTAGTAGATTTATTGTCTTACTTGGGATGAAATGATTAAATGCAATGTCAATCGTTATCTTCTGTCTTCTTAATTCCTCTTCTTTTATTTTTCTCAATATACACTTCCCCCCCCAAAAAAAAAACAATTCATAAAATCTAAAAATAAAAGTAATTATTATATAATAGTAAAAGATATTCTTACAAACTGAAATATATTTTGTCTTTCAACATCTACAACTGAGGATTGGAATACGCCATATTAAAATACAAACACAGAAACACAATTGTAAAACGAACAGAAAACGAAATCAAGCGATTTAAGTTAGCATCCCTTTTACCCTTTCCGCCTTTGTAACATATTTCCTCACAGCTAAAAAGAGAAATTACTCTTTGTAGAAAAGACAAAATCCGTGGTTTTCCAAGAAAATCTTACTCTTCATTTATCGCCTAAAATCTGTGTGATACTAGAATTAGTATTCACTTACCTACGAGACAAGTGGTTCTCAACTGGGTCCCATATAGACCCATATGGACCCAATGGGTCTATATAACATTACTGGATGTCCACATAAAAAATAACAAATTGGGGGTCCACTGTAATATCTTAGAGGTCCTTGGAGCAATTTCACTTCGTAACGATTGTTACAACTGAGAAATGGAATTTCTACAGTAATTTACGCCATTATTAAAATACTAAAAATAGAAAAACAACTAGAAGAGAACGAGATTAAGCCATGTAAGTTAGTGTCCCTATTATTGTATCGGATGATTGTAAAAGGTGAATACAAACTGAGAAGGATATATAAAGGGAGGATTATATATAAAGGAAGGATTATATAAAGCTTATAATTTATCATATAAATTAATATATTAATAATAAATAATAATATTAATTTTAAATATTAATAAAATAAAATATTAATATATTATTAATATATTAAACATATGGAAAAAATCACTACACAATTACAATTATGTTTCAACATTACAAATGTGGCTCCTCGGGCCATGTTAAACTACTGGCGAGTGAACGATTATTTTAATTTCAAATTCAGAATACTGTAGCGGACCGTGTGAGTTTGCGAGTTGTCAAATTAGGAACACGTGCTAGAAGGTCCAACTACAAGA